ATGGTGCAGTGTAACAATGATGAAACATACAACTTTCCTCTGGTTCTTAAATGCTTCCTCCCCCCACCCCATCACCACTATCATGATCCCAATTTTACCTCACAAATCTGGCTAGACCAGAGGATGTACACTGGTAGAGATAGACCTGGAAACACAGGGAATCCAGGACGGATGATCCCTTCTGGACCAGTGGTGAGAGTGGCGATATAGGGAAGGTGGAGGGAAAGTGTGGTAGCAAGGGGGAACCAATTACAAGGATCTACATATAACCTCCTCCCTGGGGGGTGGACAACAGAAAAGTGGGTGAAGGGAGACGTCGGACAGGGCAAGATATGACAAAATAATAATTTATAAATTATCCAGGGTTCGTGAGGGAAGGGGAAGGAGGGGAAAAATGAGGAGCTGATGCCAGGTGCTTAGGTGGAGAGCAAATACGTATTTTGAGAATGATGAGGGCAATGAATGTACAAATGTGCTTTATACAATTAATGTATGGATGGATTGTGATAAGAGTTGTATGAGCCCCTAATAAAATGATTTTTTAAAAAGACACTAAAAAAATTACCTAGGGCTCTATATGGATCCCCTGGAGTGTCTTGTTAAAATGTAGGTTCCCTTTCAGTTTATCTGGGGTGGAAGTACAAATTTTCAGCAGGGGACCGCACCAGAATGAACCAGTACAGGTCTAGTGTGGAGGCTGAGGTGTCAGGACCAAGGCAGGCAAGGCTGAGAGTGACAGGCCTGCAGGAGCAAGTGAAACACGTAAAGACTTGTCTCCGACTAGGAGTGCTGTGAGTAAAGAAGGGATGTCAACTGTCTTAGGTTGTAGTAGCTCTTCCAGCTGCTGTGTGGAGGGGTGAAGGCAGGAACACAGGCAAGTAGGAAGCCATTCCAGTGGCCCAAGTACAGTTCCCCAGTCACAGTGGAGGTGGTTTTGCTGTTGAAGGGAGATAAAAACAAGCAGATTGACTCTCGGAGGGTGAGAGTTGCCTTTAGCAGAAGTGGTGAAGGCCCCAGATTGTGCCGGTGGTAGAAGGCAGCATGTGGGGCTATCAGTGTGACACTCCGCAATGCTATCCCCAAGTAGTGGGTAGTGGGTAGTGGGTGAGCAATTCAGGGCATGACCTGGAGTGGCCATGCTAACTTGAGACCTGGCTTCCTCTGGCCTGTAGGCGCTGTTGCCTCCTGGCCTCACTAGACATGCCTTTGCCCAAACGCTTTTGCCCAACCGACTCCAAATAGCCCTGCCCATCATCTGCCCCTCCTCACATTTTGTCAGGCCTGACTGTTTAAACTCCTCTTGTGGCAGCTCAAAGGCAGCACACTCTGGCCACATGGTAGGAAAAGGCTGCTTATCAGGAAAGAATTCCAGCCTCAGAGAGTTTGACCTCCAGGGAAGCTTGTGAGAAGGAGCAAAGTATCTTGTGGTTACCTGTACCTTGTGTATATTATGGAACTAGGTTGGCCTGGGATGCAGTGCTTCCTGGGAAATGCACTAGCCTACAGACTCACATACCCACTAACCCCATAGCCTGTGATGTGTGGAGTCCACAGGGAAGGCTTTAAGAGAGTCACATGCTGGCTTTGGTGGGATGGTGGGTTTGACATGGAGGAAACAGTACGGGCCCGAGACAGAGCTGGTGTGTTGTGTGTTTAAGTGACTTGCAGCAACCTTTACGTTTGGTG